AATAATAAAAAATGTTCATTGTAGTAAACGAAATAATAATTTGATCTAAGTAAGAATTATTTGTCTTCCCGAATTGTAAAAATCCTTATGTGGTAGAAAATAAATTAATATTAATTTCGAAATCTGCGTAGCTGAATTATGGAAAATCCGTTATTAAAACAAAACAACTTTTATGAAGTCTAAGTTCGCAGGCCTGTGTAATTGTTTGATCTAAAAATGCACTTTTAAAATTAGGCATTTATTTAGGAGTATATGTGTTTGACAAAATACCAGAAACTTGCTATGTATTTATAACTTAGTAGTGTATGCGTAGATAAAAATTTCCAAAGACGTTAGGCAAAATGTTGAGTAATAAAAACATTGGATCAGTATTGATGAAATAAAAGTCGTATATATAGTTGCAAAAATTAGTGCGATATGAATATATATATATATATATACGATGAAAAATGTTCTGTAAGTGTAAGGTAGCACTATTTAATGTTGTATTTTGTGTCAGCTGAAGTATCATGCGTAAGAATAGGTAACATATATATATATATATATGTATTAACATTACCTCTGTACTTCCAGGGTGTGCTTTATACATAAGTGAAAAAGTTTGACGTTTGACAGTGGTAACGTTTTTTTTTTTTTTTGTTTACGTAGTCTAGCTTCTAAGGCTAAGTTAATATTCTACGATACATAACTTTCACTTATATTATACGTTAACTTACAAGTTACAGTTATGCTGTAAAGTGTAAGTATAACACAAACAATTTAAAACTTAGAACTAGAAGTAGTTTCCTTTAATCTAGGCTTTTGCGGCTTTAGACTTTAGTTTAAAGTAAGTTTAAAAGACTGAATGAAGCCACTTTGGGAATATAAATAGGAACAAAAAAGAAAGTTGAAATATTTCCAGTGAAGTATCTTTTTGTTATTAATATTAATGACGTTTTGGGCCACTGCCATTTCTCTAAGTCTAATTTGATATTAAAAAATATTTTTTTGAGCCCTAGACTTGTTCTAGGTTAGCCTGATGATGATATAGGAATACCTTTAATTTTAAAGTTTAAATGTTTTATTGAAATTATTCTATCTTTGCCTTTCCTGCTAAAACTTATACTGATACCCAACATTTCAATTTTAGGGTTTTCTTTGCATTGCATCAGGCAGATACATTAGCTTAAAAATCATGCCCAGTTTCTATTAAATTTAAATTATCTCGGTCATCTACATTAACACTGGATGCTCATTATAGAGGCCTAAATGTCAAATACACTGAATCAGTGGATGTTCATACACTTAGGCATAGCTTTATGGCTAAAAGGAGAAGCCTAGCTTATGTTACATTTATGTATTCAGAGAGTGACATTATTTATCACTTTTCTGTAACCTGTTCTAAGCATATTATAGTATTTTCACCTAAATAGAAAAAAAAAAACTTATCACTATTTGCATGTTAAAAGGTACTTTCAAAAAATATAAAGTTTGAGACAGCTATTTGTGGAATAATAGATTTATTTCTGTAAAACCTTTAAGTATGAGGTAAACTTACCAAAAACCCACATATGCATTCCAGATAGCAAGTTCTTCAAATCAGCATTGATCTTTTGTTGGCCACAGTTATTTCCTTGATAATATCTTTTGCTTTTACCACATTCTTTTTCATTTAGTCTCACCTACTTAATGAAACTTTGTACTTTTTTAGACTCATTGAGGCCCCCTTAGTAACTGTGATGATCTTCATGTTGGCACCTGGCCCAAGCATCTGTCCACTTTACTGCAATGATTCTTCAGTCTGATGGTCTGTTGTAGAGTATTATGTGCAGGGACTATTGTTGGAGTGCTCAGAACTTCACATACTGTGGTTGTGATGGTGGCTGAGATGACAGTGTAAATATCAAGTTGAAATAGATGCCCCAGCATTAACAACATTAGTGGTAGTGGTCTACCATTTGAGGGTTTTATTGGGACTTCTCTGTGGATTTGCTTTGCTGATACTTAAGTCCTATGAAGTTCTTTTTTTTTTAATGTTATTTTTTTTTCATCCTACTGGGCTGACTGTTGATGTCATGCTGGTGCTGCCTGTTCTCTTGGTATCCTCTGACAGAACAGATCACAGAACACCCAGAGCTTCTCATTGTAAATTTTACCTGAAGGTCAGTTTTAGGAGTTAAGCAGCCTGGAGACTTGCTCCTCTCAGAAGTTAAACAGGTTGTAATGTTCCACTATGTAAGGTAGTGAAGCAAAGTGAAAAATTTCCAACAACCTAATTCTTGTAAAACAAGATATCCAGAAGGGTCAAGAGTTTGGTCTTATACAGTTAAATTAGGATTAAAAATGCTTTGCCAACTGTCTTTGTTAGGTCAGTAGTTCAGCCAATAGTGTAGGTTGAAACACTGTAGCAGAAAAGCTACTCTGTAAGAAAACTTTAGACACAAGTTGTGAAAATCATTATTTTGGACAAATGCTGTTTCTAAAGGCATATATATAATCAAGTATATTGACTTAAGAAATTGTTTCCTAAGTGCCTGTAAAGGTCTCAGTCTAGCAGGCTTGCTATAAGACATATATCTGACCAGTGCACTGATAATTTCCCTGTTGGTGGTTGCTTTGCAATAACCCACTCAAGCTAGTATAGCTATCACATACGTGCAGTAAGTCTTCCACCACTGTTTGGTTGTTATTAAAACAGAGCTCAGGTCCAATGGGCAAGGAATGAAGGATGTAGAACTGATAGTGTAGTCATACACAGGTAGAAAAATCAAGATAGCTATAAATTATAAGCACCAGCTGCTGATTGTGAGACTCCTTTTAGCACAAACATTATACATCCATTCCTCTTCGTTTCTGATAAGGCCAAGCAAACTTGATTCTTTGTTTCTCATCACCTATTTCCTCATTTTTAGTGAGGGAGGGACATCATTATTCATTTCAATTGCTCTTTTAATCCTTCATACAATATCATTATTTAAAGGCATGTTGTAATGTACATACAAAAATGTGAATACATAACAGTTAAAAACAACAACAAAATCAACATCTCTTCCTGATTTTGTCTTTCATAGATAAACATAAACAAGATATATAATAAAATTCATTATCTTTATCCTCCTCCACATTTTCATCAATGCAACAGATGCAAATAAGTTCAAAGTCTGCAGAGTAAAATAACTTTTCAATTGGTTCAAAGCAGCTATGATCTCGAACATACACACACACAAATTTGACTAGGAGAAGAAACTCTTGTAGGGTTGACCCACACATATAAACTATGTCATTCAAAATACCCTGAATCTCAGTCTTGTCACAAGTAGATAACTACTTTTTTTAATACAAAAGCCTCCAAAGATTACAATCTTTGCACTGTAACACAATCCCAATGCTATGAACATGCTGCACGCTGGCTGAGAAAGTTAGAGACTTGTGCTTTTTGGCTGGCTTTGAAAGAGAGGGTTGCTCTTTCTCTGACATTTCTTGTTCAAAAGAATCACAGAAAGGTAATTAATGATTGTTCTCACCATCACTGGGTCTGGAAGGTGTTTGATTTTCACTAATTCTTCTTCTTTCGGCATAAGTAAAGGTTTGCAGATCTTGTAACCCTCTTCACCACACTTTTTGATTGAGAAAAAATAGTTGGGATTGAGAGATAAATGCTCATAAAACTTTCATACTGGCTTATTGGATATGTCTTTTTTCTTGGTATCTTCTCTTGTTGGCAGTTGCTCAATCAAATGCAACACTTCCCAAAATTCTTGAATTTCTTCATCAAAATAGCTGTTATACAGTTCAAATTTCTTTCCGTTCAGTTCCAGATGACAGATCTCATCACTGAGCAAGGCAATAGTAGTTTCAAGAGACTTCAATACTTTTTCTTCAAATGGATTTCCTTCTTTTCTGAGCTAAATAACTGTTGCAGTTCTTCAGAGCTGCTTCAGCTTCTGCACACATGCTACTCCACATCAGACCTATGCTCTGAAAGCCAAGGTTAAGGATGGACATCATCCTTTCAATGGAGTTTCTCCATGAATGATGAGGAGCAGTCCTAGTGTACAAAGATAGTCAAGGTTGAGATTAATGAAGAGTGAAATAAGAGCCAACTGTATTCAAAGGAATGTAATCCTGTGATCAAGCCTACCATCTGTGTACAAGAAAAGAACTGATTTGGTTCCTATTTTTGTCATAAGAATACTGTTTTGTTCTGCGGCATGTCTCAAGGCACTAGATGGTTCAAATACAGCTTCCTTTAAACCAACTAAGACATAACCATCATACCAAGAGCCATCAATTGTCTCTGGAATGTCAATCATCAACACAACTTTGGGTATCACACTGAATCGTGTAAAATCATGATCACATACCTCAAAACTCTGTTAGTAAGACAAGTACCTGCTGCCTTTTCTCCATAGCAGCAACAGGCACACTGGCTACCCAATTTTTATATGAAGTTTGTCATCCATATATATAAAAAGTGATGAGTCACAAAGCATTACAGCATACTCACCCAAATACCTAAATATTGCAGTGCAGTAGTGATCATTGATGTGATTTTGACTAAACTGATGCTTTTGAATCATCATTTTTATTGGAAAATTATTCTTGTACTGAGTTGCTATTTGGGTTTCTGGGACAAAACTTTAACTGAACCCACTGCATAGAAGGTATTGGAATACCTTCTGGACATTTCCTAGCAACCTGTTCAACCAAATCTCTCACTGAGATGGCTTTGGCCATGTATATGGCGATTCCATGTCTTTTCATATACTGCATTGCATTCAGCAAGGTGAGCTTCACAATGATGCCAAAATACCTGATAGTTATCACTTCCATTTATATTCAAGTGCTGAAGATCTACTAGGATATCAGGGTCTTCCATCTACAACGCTTCCTCTGCACATGCATCGATTTTGGACACTGCAGTTGTTCTACTAGCACTAGCATCACTTATAGAGTACATTAAATTTATCAGTTAGAATTAAATCAGATACCAGTACACATTTTGCAGCTGTATGGACAGAGGTCTTCTGTAAAGTGATGACATCATCACCATAATTGTTGCTTGCAAAAGTGATCATGATTTCTATACTGTACTGGTTGTCTAAGTACAATACTCGACATGAAATTAAATTCACTGTTTTAGACAGTTACAAACATCAGTAAGCAAACTACCACAGTATTGTACCACTTCTTTATGAGTCAATCTACTCACTGAAGTTAGCATCACAGAAAAGTAAATACAACTAAATCCGGGTGAAACAAATTCATTTCCACTGTGATTCATTCTTTGCTGGGTAAGAATACAACCTCTTCATTGGACATGTGACAGTAAGGTACAGGGCTCTCAAATTTCCAAAGGTATGGACACAAGACCAGTTCTACTATATGCAATACCTACATGGATCTGTATCTCAAAAACAAGCTAGGACAAAAGAAGTAGAATCCAATATAGTGCTGCCAAAATCATATGTGGCTTAAGAAATAGTTGCCTCAATATTATAGCTGAATTTGAGGCAGACCTCCTTCCATTAAGGTCATTAGGGCAACTTCAAGCATTTAAATACTTAAAAGACTGAGCCCTACAACCTAAACACAGGACAACAAATTAGGGAATGGAAACAAAAAACTAGAATAAAACAAAAAATCTCCAATACAGGGAATGAGAGAACTCCTTCCTGATATTATGCTTACTGAAACAAAGCAAATACTTAAACCTGCACCACACAAGAACAGAAATATTCCAGTAATAAACACTAACCTGGAGAAGACCTCAGGAAAATCACATGAACATCCAGAGTTTCTCAGATCTCTTTGAGTCTAGAACTTATAAATAGCATTGATGAGAATGTTATTATTATCTGTACATATGACTCCTTCATAGAATATAGAGGTTCTGGAAGTGGAATCAATTGCACATCTTTTGAAAAATTACTAGAAATATCCCATACCAACCCAATCGGCCCTTCCAATTTTGAGGCTGAACCCACTGCTATCAATGAGGCCATCTCCCTCTTAGATAAAACTTTTCCCTTAAAATTCACAATATTAACAGATTCACAAGCTGCAATCAAAGTAATAGAAGAATGTTTTACCAATGATTTAAAAATTCTCATTTAAATTCCAAGAAATTTAAACAAGTTATATAGATCTACTTAAGTCAGGATTCTTTGTATTTTTTCACATATGGTAGTCCCAGGAGATGAGAAAGCTGATATCCTGGCAAAGAAAACAGCTATGAATCAAGATCTCAGAAACAAAAACTGAATGCACCACATGTATCAACTGCCAACACTAAAGAGAAAACTGAAGGAAGAATGGTATAATAAAATTAATCACAGTTGGAACTCAGGAACTAAACCTGGTACTACAGTCATAAGCAGTTTAAATAGACAAGATACAACCCTCATTATAAGGCTTAAGTTTGGATACCTTGGGCACACAATATTTCAAAATGGAATAAAACCCACACTACCTGTACATATGCTATAGAGAGGAAGCAAGTGCTAACCCTATAATGATGTGTTTAGAAATGACACCTGATGAATTCTATAATAATCCAGAGAAGATTCACAATTTAGAGGATGTGTGCACTCTTCATGACCTGATCTAATGACTCTAGGGATAAGAAACAACAACATACCCAATCTTCTCACTCAAACTTTTACTCCTTCAGTGTTATCATAGCATTTTTTCTGCTCTATGGTAGCCTTTCATGGGTGTGATGTGCAAGTTAATATGTACCAAGTAATGCTGACCTAAATCACATCACATGGTTTTGTTGAAACAGTGGTACACCATACATTAGAACTGCAGGAAGCTGTATTTCTACATCAAATATGAGAATTCTTTGTTCAACAAACAGATACATTTTGCTCTGTATATGCTATTGTGCTCTATGAAAGGTGTTCATCCCAGTCATTATGGTCAGGATTAACAAACTTTGCAAGTTCACATTTGATAGCTTGCATTACAATTCTTACATTCCACTGGCATGTCTTTGCCATACATACGCTTTAAAACAACTTTACAATTATCTGGCTGTGGAAAGTGGCCACCTAATTTGTTTCAGGAGTAACAAATCGCAAACATATCAGCAGTAGACTGTACCACTGTATAAACTAATGGTAAGTTTGGTCCACTTAATGAAATATTGATTAGAAGCACCATGTATTAGTTATATCACTTAATCTCCAGGAGAGGATCAGCTATATCCAGGACTATTCTTTGTAGTTGAGAACCCACAACTCTGCTAGAATATAACCTGTTTTAATTAGTATAGTATTTACATTATCACTCCACATATGGATGGATGGAAGTGCAGACAGAAAAATCACTTGCTTGTTGGCTAAGTCTGAAATATTTCATTACTTAGGGCTTTGGGGTCTGTATCATAAATTGAGAACATTACAGTGGTACATAAAAATAATGTAGCATACCATCTTGCACACCTAATTGCCCATACAAATACAATAAATTATGTGCATCTGCACTGGCCAGGCTCCTCTTTGCTGCATGGGAAGAAGTATCCATTTTAGATCTGAGTCGTTTAGTTGCTCTTCCAAGAAATTAAGAAGCATTATTCACATAGTACATTCACTGTACTGTATCATCATGTACTGTACGATTTGGCTATCACAGCTGCTTCAGTGACATTCACATCCAAACAGAGTCTTGGTACTCAATGAATGGATAAACCATATGGTAAGACAGTCCATCAGTGTTTTCATGTTGTTGTCTCAGTCAATAATGTATGACAAAGTTAAACTCTTGAAATGTTATCTATAATGCAACCATGCCTTCTGGGTTTTTGAAGTTAATAAGCCTTTTCATTGATGAATAATCAACCTTAATGGAGAAATTGGCTGTAAAGCATAGGAAGCTGCAGATCTCATGTTTCTTTATGGGTTGGGGCCAGTTTCTGATTGCTGTGGTTCTTGCAGGGTTGATTGATATGCTGCCCCTTCCTACAGTGTGAATGAGGAATTTCTTATTTCTTGATAAACCATACCCCACTTTTCTGCTACAGGTGGAAATACATTTACATACACCAAGATATTATTGACATAGATCAGGCATTTCTTCCATTGGAACACTCAGTGTAAGCTTCACCAGCCTTTCAAAGATTGCAAGCACATTATACATGCCAAGTGACATGAACCAAAATTCTTACAAAGCCATCTTTAGTACTAAAAGCAGTTTGTGGCCTGCTTTCATCATCCATTTCAACTTTCAAGTTCTAGAACCAGGTGTAAATTGCTGAACTAGCAAACATCTTCCAGTGTATCCAGACATTCATCTGATTGTGGTAACAAAAGGGCACCAGTGCATGTCACTGCATTCATTAACCTAAAAGCAACACAGAACCTCAGTGTACCTTCCATCTTCCTGATGGTCACTACTGAAGAGAACCAAGCACTCTTCAAAGGTTATATTACTCCATCCTTCATCATTTGTTGTATTTCAGTAATGGTTGTGTCCCTAGAGCTTCAGAGAAGACTATTCAGTGGTTGTTTCATTGGATGGATGTCTTTTGTATTTATTTTCTAGCGTGTTATTGTTGTCTTATCCCAAATAACCATATGGCCTCAGAAACACATCAGCTTTTTCATCTAGTAACTCACCGAGTTAGTGTCATTGTGTTGAATCAAACTTGTGTGCATATTTATCAACCAGTTATCTCAAATATTCTGATAGTCATGAATTTTTTCTTAGACATAGTGAAACTAAAGCAATGCCAGCAGTACAGCTACTTCAAGCCACTTCTACTTCATACCTCATTTTGAAGTCAACTCCAGCAGGAAGATGAATAGCTGAACGTCCATAGTTACATATAAACATTAGACTATGCCATCATTCAAACACGTAAATTTTTGAGTAAACTTAACCTGTTTTCTGGACAAGAAGTAATGTTTTGTGCAGTAGACAGTGATAATGCCCCAGTATTCTTCTGCAGTACGCTATGGAAAAACACTTTTACACCTGGAAGTATAGTAATTTCATTCTTCACATCGTAGCAGTGTAATCCACTTTTCTTTACCTGATTGATTTATTTTGGCTCAGACAACTGTACATCTGTTACACAAAATGACATTGGTTTAAACTTTCTACGTTATGTCCTTCCTCAGGATACTAAAGCCTGAACAAAGATAGAAGATAATTACCTTCATTCTTTTTGTGACAGGACCAAGATGAAATTAAATTTGGGTTTTTACAGCTACATCTAATGCAGCACCATCCACTCTATTGCTATGATTAGGTCAAAGTGGGAATGTGACACCTTTTTAGAGAGTTGCATTCATACTTTAATTTACTTGCCTTATAATCAATATATACAAATAAACTTGGCATCAAAATTTAGATAATAAGTCAAATTTTAATATTACATAAGTTTTAATTTATTAATTTCAAAGGGAAATATTTAAATAAATTCTCAATCTCCCTTTGTAGTTGGGTGGCTTAGCAAATTTACCATTACTGAGTGGATACAAGCATCAAATTGGACATGAAGTTTCTTTTGGTAACACTAATCAAATTTTGGCTAGGAGCCCTCTTGAAATATTAAGGATTTCTGTATAATACATCAAAATCCAAAATGCCCACCACTCTCCATTTATATTATGCTTAGACATTTTACTTATGTCAGAATAACAGTTTTATATACATTTCTGCAATCAGTCAACATCCTGGTAACTTTTGTTATTCTCAGGGCACTGTAGCCAACTATTCTTGATATTATCATATATATGTATAAGCACAACCTGTGCCAAGCAGGGGTAATAGTGATAAAAACCCTCTTTTGCCAGTTAGACAATAAATTATATTAATGCAACAACAATTTCACTACTAGATTTAGAGTATTTGTTGCAGTATGCATAAGTTATGTCCACTGTAGTAGACAAATATACACAGTCAGCTGATAATGCAAAATAGCCATTTATTTTCAAGATGCTAAAAGTTATTTCCTTATGTTTGCAGCCTATATACACTTACAAACAAGATGAAGATACACTGGACTTGGTGCATTATCTGCCAGCAAGTTACAGTAGAACCACTTAAATGTCCATTGCAGAGTCCTGGCACAAGTTGAGCTAAAACAGATGCCTACTCATCATTTCTAGCAAATGTGCAACAGTTTAGAGAAATTGACTTGCTTCCAACTAAACTCTACTGTGGGAGTGCTGACAGTTTTGCAGCTCACTCTGCTTCATGGCACAAATTCTACCATCTGAAAAATAACAATTCTTAGTTGATGAAAGCAAGAAGGAAGTGAGAAAGCAACACAGAGCCTGAAGAGACGAGACCCAACAAGTGTAAGGCACTGGATGTTCAAATGGGCTTCTTCTGTGAGAAAGGAAATGAGGAGGGTGACTTGTGTCATGTTTCAACTTTTGATGCAGATGATAATATTTGTACAATGATAACTGAATTGCAAGATTCTCAGCTCCTTGCAAAACTTACTGGGGGAGACCTTGCAACCGAAGCAAAGAATCAACTCAAATGCCTGGTCAAGTTGAGAAATTGATAGTGTAGCCTTATCAGAAAATTAAACCAGAAACTAGAAATGACAAAGTGAATGAGAGTTGAGTGTTTGTGGAGCTAATGAGTTACATTGAAAAAGCTGTTGACCATGGATCCCTTCTCTTCAAGTTGTCTGAACTCCACACACTATATGTAAATCATTTGGAGGATTTTGATAGTAGTAAATTAATTAACAAAACCAGGTTGACAAACCAACTACTGGAATGTTTTTCAGAAGCACAAGAAGAGTATGATGGGAGAAATGCTGTCATTATTTTCAAGGAAGGGATGCAATACTTTACAGGAAGCTCTGAAAAAAATAGATTTCTCTGAAGAAGCTGTTATTCTGGCCAAAGCTGAAACAATAATATGAAAGATATCTTCAGTCATGAAGCCTTCAAATTCACAGGATTCTTCCCTCCACAATGTCAAGAAGAATCACAGTCTTCCAGTCTCAAGTAAATGTGGTACATAATCAGACAACACAAAGAAAAGATCATCTGAGTCAGATGTGGAAACAAGGCATACTTTGGAGCAGGAACCACCTCTCCTCATCTACATTGGTTTGAATATTCATACTCTGACAAGAAACAAAAAACTCATCCAGCAGCTGTATCAGATGGGTATCAGCATTTCATATGACAGGGCTATGGAGCTTGAAGACTGGATTGTCTTTTCTGTTTGTGAGCAGTATGAAGAAGATGGTGTGGTAGTCCCTCTTGCCTTAGAAAAGGCTTGTTCACAGTTGGTGCCTTAGACAATATAGACCATAATTCAACTTTAACCACTGCTGTGACTTCTTTCCATGTAACTGGAATCAGCCCTTTCCAGTTTCCAACAAGGAATATACCTGGTGACACCTAGATCAAGAAAGCATGGGTTTCTGTTTGTATCACAATTACTTAAGTCTCTAAAGCCTGCAGGGAATTGATCAGATGCTCATGCAAGGGAGACTGCTCAAAATCCAGATGCAGCAAAGCCAATCTTGACTGTTCCCCTCTGTGCAGTTGTAAATGTGGCACATAACCAGACAGTTGGAACATTGTGTGTAGAATGATGAACTTGCTACTTCTATAGACACATACAAACAATATATTCAGAATTCACCTACAGACAATCTGTTCCGAATTAACCAAAATACACATTGATTGCAACTTGTGCTGTAGGACCACACATTTTGCACTATTACCCATGCATGTCATAGGCTGCACCTATTCATAGTAACAAAAATAGATGGCTATAGTGCCCTGACAGTAAAAAAATATTGATAGAATGTTCAGTTGTTTTAAAATTTCATAATTAAGTGCTATTCTGACAATTGCAATAAGTCCAAGCAAGTTTAAGCATAATATAAATGGCAGGTGGTGGCCATGTTGGATTTTGATGTATTATACAGAAACCCTTGATATTTCAAGAGGGCTCTGAGGCAAAACTTGATAAGTGCTATCAAAAGAAAATTCATACCAAATTTGGTGTTTGTATCTGCTCAGTAACGGTAACCTCAAAATATTGGGCTAAGCCACCTGACTATTGTATGTGTATCATCACATTTGTTCTCTTCAACTTGACCATTCTTTATTTTTCGTTGCCCCTCTCTGATTTACTGAGTTTAATGTAAGTTACTTATTATGATGTAAAAATTACTAATGCATATTCTAATTGTATAGTTTTGAATCTTTTTTGTTTATAGTGACTAAATTAGAATGTCGACCAACTTGTCACACCCACCAATCACATCCTCTCTGTCACAAATTTCCAATAATATTCTATGATGTTTGCTATTACATAATTATAAACAATAGAAAGACAAAGTTTACTGTAACAAATGAAATATAATGCTACCTTGTGCTTAACAGAAACTTTCAGTTATTTCACTTACACATTGAAAGTTGCTATTGCCAAGTTCAGATTGAGTACATAAGGGAATTATTTTAAAGCACGTATCCTTTAGCCAGAAACCCATTTAAATTATAATAGTTATAGGACATTGTTTGTGTGTTATTATTCTGTGTTCTTAAGTGCATACTTGAAATAAATATAATTATTTAATGTACTAATAACATCATTATATAGAAAAGTAGGCTTGAGTTTCATAAGCATTCCGACAGGTTTGCCCTTTAAGCATTGTTAAAATTTTATCACTGACAGCGCAACAGTCTTTTATGTACCTTTATTTTCCCACCATTTCAGAACATGTGCTGATCACATGACTACCCTACATCAATAATATTGTGCCATCTATACTAGTGCGGATAGCTCTCTCTATTATTCTAGCACAATCCTAACTTTCTTGATTGGCATTTTAGTGTATAGAAGTGTGTTTTAACTCGTTCTCCATGTGACAATAAAATTTTGATTGTGCTTTGATCACAAACTTATATTAGTTTCAACTTCAAGGTTTGACTTCTTATGTTTAATTTCCATTGTTTTTACTCCTTTGTTTTAGAAATATTTCTGTTTTCCAAATTCTAATTTGTTCATATGAATTCGAGATTTAATATGGCGGATGATGAAATTCCCATGATAGTAGACAATGGTTCTGACATGTGTCTCAGGGTTGATGATGTCTGCTGGAGAAGCACAGGCTTAGTTCGTGGGGAGTTCAACAATTTCTTCCTTTCATGTTGTGAATTTTTGTGCAGAAGGATATAACTACTGTGTGGAAATTTCTTTCAACAGCACTTTCCACCTGTTACTACACCTCCATGTTATCTGCTGGGTTAGGAATTGTTCTTTTTCCCAGGAGATCGGTGGTAAGTTTTTCAGTGTGTATTCTTCATTCCCTGTAGGTATACCCATGTTTAGTGAGTTTATGTGAGCTTGTGTGGATGGACCTAATTTCCGCACTCGGTAATTTAGGTCTTTCATGTTTTCTCTGCTTAGTATTTTGGTTCTATTTTTATACTTCTTTTACCATCTAGGTTACTTTAGTTTAAATCTTTCGACACGGGGTCGGTCAATTTGACTGAGTCACGTGACCTTCTGTACTCGTTTAAAGTTGACATAAATTAAATAATAATAACTCTCTATATATTTGGTATATCTTTACGAAATTTGGCAGTCTTTCAGTTAATATTACAAGTCTTTCACATACAAAAAGTCATATTTCTTAGTGAAGTATTTCTAATAAGATAAAATAAAGTTTTGTCCATGTTTTTAATAGTCCATGTGCAAAGTAATTTTCATGTTAAAATTAAAAATACTTTTTGTCGTCTCAAATTTCCTTTGTGTAATCCCTAAAATCTCCTAAATGCATTTCAAACGTTTTTGTTCACTAAATCCTTAGTTTTTATGTTATTTCTTTACCCTATCTCAAAACGAGATCGGTCAATTCAAGTGACCTCGTAATCATAAAAAAAAATAGAAATAAACCTAAATTAACCTTCTTTTCTTTTTAGAATGATTTAAAATTGTAACCTGAAACTACATTCATTTATCCTAAGTAGCTCTTTGTTCGTAACATTATACATCTATTTATAATTAAATTTTATTGCTTTATTGTCTTTTGAACCGTGTCCAACTGCTATCCCCACCATAATAAGTTGTAAATCACTCGGGCAACGTGCTGCTCACGTTACGCTATCGAATTACATTACCCACGAGCTGCTCCCATGCGTGCCTCGTGAACCATTTTAATTATATTATTAGTATTATTACTTATTTTACCTAATCTAGTCTTAAATAACTGAAAAAGATCCATATATTTAGATTTTAGTTACTTTTATAATAGTACATAAAGAATAAATATGAAAAATAAGAAATAAAGTACTTACCCAATCTTTTTCTTTCTTGTTCTCAGGTTTACGACAAGAGTTAACCTTAATTTTATATACTATATATATAGTAATGCACTTAATAATTTTTATTTAATTAAATAATGCACCAAATAATATAGATTAATAACATACAAAAAGTAGACAAATTCCCCTAACTTTCAAAATTGTCCTGGCTTTCTAACCATGCAACAAGAGCTGTTACTACAAATTAATCCAAGCTAGTTGTTAACTTTCCCACGGGAACGAATCTTGTACTGTGAGTGAAATTGATGATATTCTGTTCAGAATACAACCTTATACAATATGGCATTTGATGGATGAAAACCTTGACTTTCTACTGTTAAAATGTTTAAATTAAAAATACTTTTCCTTATCTCAAAAATCTCAAATTTCCTTTGTGTAATCCCTAAAATCTCCTAAATGAATTTCAAACGTTTTTTTTTCAGTAAAACTTTACAGTTTATGTTATTTTCTCTACCCTATCTCAAAACAGGATCAGTCAATTTGACAGACCTCATAACCACCAAAAACAAATTTAAATAAACCTAAATTACCCTTTTTTTCTTT